GGCAGCATCCCTGGTAGGGTTTTGTCTTGTCCTTTTATAAATTTTGTTTCATGGTACTAATGTTTTGGAAATTTTTTTGTACCTCTCTCCTGAATGATTCCTTTTGAAAAAGAACATCTGGTCTTTATTTGGGCTTAATCGGAATAATTTCATTGATTGATGACAGCTGTATGATAATAACTTTTGAGCATGAGATTGAATATGATTGGTTCATTCTGAATACAGCCACATCAACTATAAAAGGGTGTGCATACTTATGCAACCAGGTTGTTGTAAATTTTTTATTTTTCCTATTTTTTCCCTAAAATGTTTCTGATTGTTTTTCACTTAATTTTTCTGACATGATTTATCTTGTTTTAATTTTTTTACATCACAAAAGCCTGCCATTTTAAGAGGGGTGTGTAGAATTTTTCTGATTTGACCCTGATTAATGCATAGTGCATTCTATTTGTATTTAGTACATTTTATGGTATACATGGTATACATTATTTTGAACCACGGGTAAGTAGTTATGATTACATGTTCATGAGCCTGCTCGTTCGCATGAAAAATCTGTAGGAACAATAAAGTGTAGTATTCATAGATGTGTGTAGTATTTAAATACAGCAATATGCAGAGTGTACACTGAGACTGTTCAGTTAACAAATAGTTTTAACTTTGTTAACAAAGTATGAAAACTAAAAAGAAGTAGGAAACATTTAGTAGTAGATAGTAGAGAGAAACATTTGAGTGCACTAAGCTATAAAATTTGATACTTCTTGTGACTTCATTAAAGGCAGCAGAGCTTTAGCCAATTCCACTATGGAGCCAGCGGGCACCATGTCCTCAGATCCCTTCATTTAGCTAAGTACAGCAATTAGGCTAATAACTTACATATGCTTTATGCTTGCAGGTCACAGTAATACATTTTGTCCATATGAGATACAGCATCAGATCACTAACATGAGCAAATGTAATTATCTGCATGCACAATATTACAAAAGCACTGGGACCAGAGGCTAGTCTTATTTCATCATTTATCCAATGTAACTGATACAAACAGGATTATACTAGTGGTACTACTCATCCTATTATTCATACATTATCTATAACTGAGACTAATACTATATATCTCAGCAGAATCTAATGGATTTCTCCCTCAGTCTGAGTTGTGGCCCTTGAAATCTACATACCTTCATTCTCTGTTCTTAGGATTTGAGTTTGTTGATGCAAGAAAAACTTCTGAGAAATATTTTACAAATACACTGAATCATGTATACATTAAAATCCAAATACATAATGATTTACAGCAATATAATATCAGAAATCTCAGAGACAATTTAGTTTTTACTGTATGGCATTAAACTCTGAATATGACATCTGCGTACTCTGTTCACACCCCATTTCCTTCAGTTTATTATTATTATTATTATTATTATTATTATTATTATTATTATTATTTGGTTAAACAGTATATTTTATTGAAAAATTAATTTGGTAAATAATAACCCACACCTGATACTGACTCAAATAAAATGGTCCTCTGTCCATTTCCCAGCTTTAATGACACAATGGAAATGCATGTTTTTACTTGGTAATGCAATGGACTGATTAACAGTGCAGCATGTCACAGCAGGTTTTAGAAAGGTAAAGAGAACACTATGCACTTACAAAAGATCTTCTTCTCATGCTCACCTCCATTATTTTAACCCACCCTTGATTTGACCACAAATTATCATTGGTACTTTGATATTGTACAGTATTTCATGCATTTATAAACAAATTAAGTTGTAAAAAAGGGAATATTATTCCACCATCTAACCTTAACTTGACAGATCATAATTTTTCATACAAACTAAGTTGTGCGAAATGTTATGACTTTGAAGCGAGACCAGGCTGGAAACTACTGCTTTCTGTTGGAGTCGTAATTGTGAAAGTGCATAGTTTGAGGATAATTAGACCAAATTGCATTAGTATTCCATAACCATTTACATAAAAAAAATTGTGGTGGTTGTCTGGCTATCATATGCTGTGGTGTTGTATAAACCATTGATGAAAGAATTAAATCACTAATTAAATGTCCATCTATCAGATTGAAAGTGACATTACCCGTCTCATGCGCTGTCATTTGGAGACTGGCAGGAAAACTCCATCTACTCAGAAAAAGCATCACATAACACTGTATTACATACACACCTTGATTTATGGGAGTTCCTTTTTGCCCCTACTGTTCATGTGCATAACTATTTATTTACTGCATTATCACAGCCGTTTCAATCTTCTGTCTTGCATCAACAATGATCTCTGTTGTGACTTTGCTCCTATGGTGTCATTTGTATAATTCAGTCTTAAGGGTTTCCATGTGTAAATCTTGCTTGCTGCATACCACCATCTGTCAGTGCCTTTTTTCCCAGAGCCATTCACTGACTTGCTTTCTACATTTACTCTTCAAGCTGTCCTTGTACAACAGCCATATTTGAGGTTTCAGCAGCAGGGCCAGAGATGCAGTATGTGGCCTTACTAGCTAGGCAGGCTTTTTGTCAATCACATGAAAAGCTTCTCTGAATTCAGCTGTCTTAGTTGAATCAGTTGGTCTACAGAATGGGATTAGCATTGTTCAAATCTCAGGTCGCGTATAGGTAGCTGCTGCTGCAAACATGCTTACATGTGCTTATGAGATACAGAACACTGTCTAATATTATCACAGTTGTGCCTTATGTGTCTCTGTAACTCATTTAATATCTCCTTCATCCAGGTGTAGAAGTTCATTTGTTACATTTTGCACAAGTTACATTTGTTTAGGTTTAGGTATGTTCTTGTGGGCTGGTGTTACTTTTTTCAGGGAGGTTTTTTTTTTTCTTTTCTTTTTTTTTAGTGGAAGCTGTTGAAACTACATGTTCATTAAAATACCATGAACTAATCTCAATCTTTGGACCAAATTACATTCTCTATGATGTGTGCGTTTACATACACTCACCAGCCACTTTATTAGGAACATCGTACTAATACAGGGTAGGACCCTCCCATATCCCCCTTTTTTTTTTCACACCATTCTGTGTAAACACTACAGAATATTGAGTATGAAAATCCCAGGACCTCAGCAGTTTCTGAAAATTCTCAAACCAGCCCATCTGGCACCAACAACCATGCCATGGTCAAAGTCACTGAGATCACATTTTTGATGTTTGATGTTAACATTAACTGAAGCTCTTGACCTGTATCTGCATGAATGTATATTTGCGCCTTCAGCAGCCAATCCCATTAATGCTATTAGGTACTGTAGAATGCACAAAATGATCTTCTCCTTTAAATATAGACCTAATTATGAAATTAGAAATAATCCAGAAGTAATCAGGCTAGATTACACTTGGGTAATTCAACCTATCACATTAGCAAATCATTTACATGCAATATGAATTCAGTCCCTGATTACATTTATAAGAAATGTTAATGAAACTGGTGAAAGGCCACTTTTTATATTTATGTCTGTCTTAATATGTTAATTAGATGGCTTAATTAATACACCTCCTACTCCCAAACCTACAGGAGACTGATACATATTTAGTAGTCAGTATCATTTTTCTATGCACTATTTTAATACAAAGGATTTCATAGATTCTAAGCTATTTGTAACCACATGATACACAAAAATGTTGCTGACTTAATTCTACAGTTATTAATATGCTTTTGACTGATCAGACAATGGGATATCTAATGTCACGAGTATTTATCTTCACAATTTGGAAATGATGGTTTTCTGTGATATCTGGTCATCTCACTGCTCAGAATCCTTGATGCTGTTTCTGCAATAACAAGAAGTATGGATTTTATGTTTTTAAACTACCATTAGTTAATAAACACACAGTTCTCCAACTTATAAATTATTACTTTTTATAAATGGAGCATGGAGAAATATACTTTCTGGTTTCAGCAAAATACTAGAATACCTGATATAAACAAAGTTAAATTAATTAATTAAATAATAAGTTTTAAAAAACTGTGTATTCAGCTCTACAGTGTCCATATTTCTAGAATTGCAAAGTTAAACAGTTTTCTTTAACCATTTCCTGAGTGTGCACTGTAACTCCAAGCCTGTTGCTTTAAACGCCTTTAACACTCCAGCGATTGCAGCCATAAAGTAGAACTTTAGAGCATGAGTCATATAATAAAACATATATGTTCCAAATACATCATGTGCAAGAGATGACATTAGCTGGGAAATTGTTTGTACGGCTATTTAAGAAGCAGAGAACCTTTACTACCCTGAAAGCTTTTAAAGTAGCATGTCTTGATAAAGTGTTTGCAAATGTCAGTGAATCATTTGGTGAACATTATACACTGTTGCTTTGTGCTATTTACGTTTTTATCTTTGCCTCAACCAGCTTGCAACAAGAATCCACATATATTCACCACTAAACATTTGCTTATTTCAAACAAAATGTTGTATTTGATATTTTGAGTGTCATCATCATGATGGCAGGAGGAAGTCTTTCTAAGTTAAAGATTTTATTGGTGCATCCTATGATAATTTTGCTATTTGGAACCAAACATAATTTGGCTAAGAGAAAGATGTGTTGAATTACTACACAAGGGCCATATGCAGCTTTGAGTTATGTGCATAGTGAGCAGCTCGATGCTCGATCGGATTGAGATCTGGTGAATTTGGAGGCTAAGTCAACACCTTGAACTCTTTGTCATGTTCTTCAAGCCATTCCTGAACAGTTTTGCAGTGTGGCAGGACGCGTTATCCTGCTGAAAGAGACCACCGCCACTATGAAGGGGCGTACTTGGTCTGCAACAATGTTTAGGTAGGTGGTATGTGTCAAAGTCACTTACGGGGCAGTGGTAGGTCAGGGGTTAAAATGTTGAACTTCTGATCAGAAGGTTGTGAGTCCTTAACCCTCAACTGCTCAGCTGTATTAAAAAAAGAGATAAATGTAAGTCCCTCCGGATAAGGGCGTCTGCCAAATGCCGTAAATGGAACATTAGGTTTACATCTGCTCTTGTAGCTGATGCTTAAGGGCAGTGATAGCTCAGTGGTTAAGCTATTGGACTACTGATTGGAAAGTGGTGAGTTCAAATCCCCCCACTGCTAAGCTGCTACTGCTGGACTCTTGAGCAAGGCAATTAACCCTCAACTGCTCATTTGTATAAATGAGATAAATCTAAGTTGCTCTGGATAAGGGCATCTGCCAAAATCTGCAAGCAAATCTACATGAAAGCCAGGAATCCCAAAGTTTCCTAGCAGAACATCCCAGACCATCACACTCTGCCAGCTTGCCTACTTCCCATAGTGCATCCTCAATTTGTGGACTACAGTAGCTCTTCTGTGGGATCAGAACAGACAGGCTAGCCTTTGCTCCCCATGTGCATCAATGAGCCTTGGGCACCCATGACACCGTTGCCAGTTCACCAGTTGTCCTTCCTTGGACCACTTTTGGTAGGTACTAACCACTGCATACTGGGAACACCCCACAAGACCTGCCATTTTGGAGATGCCCTGACCCAGTCATCTAGCCATCACAATTTGGCCCTTGTCAGAGTTGCTCAGATCCTTACGCTTGCCCATTTTTCCTGTTTCCACCACATCAACTTTGAGAACTGACTGCTCACTTGCTACCTAATATATCCCACCCCTTGACAAGTGCCATTGTAACGAGATAATCAATGTTATTTACTATTTTACTTCACCTATCAGTGATTTTAATGTTATGGCTGAATTTTATATGGGCTTGGGACTGGCACTGGGAGTGCACTGTAGTGTGCTGGGGTTGGTTCCCTGGACAGAAATCGAGCCCAGGCCATGGTGGTCTAACCACTAGTCCTCCAGGGACCCTGTCCTTCTCCTTATATACAAAGCCCTGAGATCTGAGATCCGAGTTCATCTGTTGCTGGTTTACTGGAGGTTCCCAGCAACAGCCAGAGGAAAATCAGGAATGCAGCTTTTGTCAATTATGCCCCAAACCTATGGAACACACTACCTATCGATATTAGGGAAGCCAGTTCACTAAAAGAAAGCTAAAAACTTATCTCTTCACTTTAGCCTTTATCTAGCTAACCTATGCACTGTTGCGCTCTTTTTAAAATTTTGTATTTTACTTCATTTATGCATTTTATGTATTCTAATTTTTAACTTTATTTTATTAAATTATTATTACTCAGTTATTTTCTATCTCATGCTATGTATTCTATGTATTCTAATTTTATCTTTTTATTAATATTTGGTTTTATTTTCAATTTTATGTGACATTAATTATGGTATTTTATCTATTTTTATGTGAAGCACTCGGTGCATGTAATCCTTATAGTAAAGCACTGCATTTTTTTTATATGAAAGGTGCTATACATATTACTATCTATCTATCTATCTATCTAGATAGATAGATAGATAGAGAGATAGGCAGTGGACTAGATGCTATTGAAAAATCCCCATCTCACTAACTTCTACTGCATTCTATGGTATGATCAACATAACTGGATGCATAAAGGACATTTCCCTGTAAGATACAGACATATCTTATGAACACAACTGCCAGGTCTGAATACAGCCCTCAGACCATTGAATGTATACTTGATTGTGAATGTAATTCTCACAGAACAACACTCTTATCCTATTTTAAATACAGCAAAAGCCATAAATTATGTTGTCAGACATGTACCTAGGCAAGCAATATGACTGCTTGTGTTTTAGAGAGGTAGCTATTAGACCAGCATTGCACAATTTATGGAAGAAAAAAGCAGTGTCAGAACTTTAAACCTTAGATAATTCTGACCTGCAGCTCTTCTGGTATTTCAGAGAACAATGAGTCATAGCCTGTATGAAGTCCTCATCTACTTAAGCCAGCTAATGGCACTTTAGAATTGTACTGACCGTGCCATGCACAAATACCTGTGGGTCACATACATTGCAAAGCGTCACACACTTTTCACTTATGATTAACATGAGTAATTTGTGGCTCTGAAATAGCAGGCCTTGAGAACAATATACATTGGATGCCATTAGGAGTTGGAGTAGTCGCAGATGGAAAAGGTCATTTTTAATGAATCACAAAATGAGAAACAGGAGACATTAATGGTAAATCATTAACATTTAGAATGCTAAATGAAAAAGTGCTATTCATCCTTCAAAATTATGAAGAAAGGTGAAAGGCTAAAGGTCAACACAGACTAGAAGCCTAATTTGTGTTTCTAGTTGTTCTTTTAACATAATACAACATTTTAAACAATATTTTTTTAAATATCAGTTGTGTATTTGAACATTATTTTGGAGTAATGAAATGTCTACAATGTGATTTGAACAGCAAAGAAGTGACATTGTTACTTTATTGCTTTAAAGCTAAACGAAAACACGGGCCTGGGTCCTACGTGGAAACCTTTCTGAAAAGAAAGCTTCTGTTATAGGATTCTACATAGAACCTTTATTTCACCAGATGGACAAACAAAGACTCCTTCTGGGGGCTGGAACCTTTTTTATACCTCCAAAAATTTGTGACACAGAAAGACTGCTGGTTAGCAGTAAACTTTGCAAAGTTATATATAAGCAAGGGTTTTTTAAATATCTTACCATAAACTTTCCCTCAGAAGGATAAACTACAATTACTAATGCGCAATACATGGAAGACAGGGATGAATAGATAAGATAAGCAGATATAATGCAAACATTGTAGGAGCTGGAGAACTGGAAATAAAGCTTTATTTCATACAAATTAAGTCTTACGTAAGCACAACATGCACAATTTACATCTCAAGGACACTGCAATGACCTTGTTTGCTAATTAGAAAGAAGGCATCAGCACTTTTTTGTATCATCTTCTACTTTCATCCATCCTTGATTATAATATGTGATTTAAACCTGTCAGTATTGTCAGAAAGCATTTATTTACTGCACACTCTCAGTGCCATTCATGTAACTTTACTCCCATGATTATTTGAAAGTACTTTTTGGAGTTTTGTTTAACTGGGTAAAAGACAACTGGCCACAGTCAGCAACTGAATAAATGCTCCATCTTGTATAAAGCTGTAAAAAGTGGAATATTATAAACATCTATTTACAGTAATTCTAAATGACATTGTGCTGATGTCTTCAGAAAACTGGCAAATAAGCTACATGGGACATCGTTGAGATGCAATGTTGGCAACACTGGCTACATGTGTGTGTTATCTGGGAAATCTTCTTTAATATTACCTTTTACTAACTTACAACTTAAAATCTACATAGAATTATTTTTAATGAGCATGATGTGTAGAAATGAATATGCATTATGTGCAAACTAGAAACATCCCCATGCCCTCTTGCTATCTCAAATAACTAATCGAGTAGTTATCTGCTCTCAGACTATATATTGTTTCTCACAGATACACGATTAGGATATCAATAACTGAGTCTCAATTTGCAAAGTGGTTTTCTCAGTGATTTATTTCACACTAGCCAAAGCTTACAAAATATGCCTACAACCAAGATTTTGTTTAGCAATAAGCTGAGTTAGCTAGCTACTGATGGGTGACAAATTAAAGAAAAATCCAGTGGTTCTATTATATTGTGGATGACATTTGGTTTGTGTCCAAATGTTCCCTTAGAGGGAAGAATCACTTCAAATCAGTACTGAGTTCTTTTGACTGACCACCTTTATCCTATGATAAAACATTTCTCTCCTGATGTCCCCATCCAAAGGGCATGAGGGCTCACTGAATGGTTTGATGAGTATGAAAATAATGTAAATCATATATATGCAACAGCCTTCACAGTAACCAGATCTCAGTCCAATTGTACACTTATGGAAGATTTTGGACCAATGCGTTAGATAGTGCTCTCCACCACTAACATCAAAAAACCAAATGAGGGAATATCTTTTGGAAGAATGGTGTTCATCTCTTTAGTTCGAGACTCTTGTAAAATATATGCCAAGGCATATTGGCTTGTGGTGACCCAAGGCCATACTAAGACCTTAATATCACTAACGCTAAATTAATTAGCTAGCTAGTATTGCACAGACTCAGTGGATAACATTTTACTACATAATATGTTAATTTATTTATGTATTGGTATGGAAGATTCACAACCAAGAGGCTTGAGCTCAGAGATGACACACACCGGGCTGAAATGTAATGCTCCTCAAGTTAGTTTTTGTATAAAAGCTCAAAGACTTTGTTTTAAAAAGAAAAATAAATGACCCAGAGATTTATCAATTTAATTAAAATTTTCAAGTGCAGGGTTATTTTAAGAATTTGAAAACATAATACTGTTTTTGATCTACTGTAGAGATAGTCCATTTATTTCAGCTTTTTCAGGAACAAAGTGTTGCAGTCAGTTATCGTAGGCAAATCTATCAAATCAAGGCAAAGTAAAGAACCAGAAAGATGGCAAGTTACTACTACTAAACAAACACCGAACATAAGTTATTACTACTAAATGAACACAAGGAATACTTCATTATAGACGATGGGAAAAACTAACTCAATCTTATCGAACCTTTTATAACTTCAGGAATAAAGTTGTTAGCAAAGCTGAAACCACTTCATGAAAGCAATTCATAATTTTTTAACAGGAATTTTATGTTTAATTCTTGCATTCATTGTTCAGAAAATGTTGATGCAAACAGGAAGAGAGAAGTAGGTGATGAGAGGGAGGAGCCAAGCTAAAGTAGGTATGTGGAGTCCTTATGGATGGAGAGTCTGTGACAATAACCTCTTACAATAACTCTTTTTTTTTTTTGTAAAATCAGTTTCACAGAAGTTAATATTAGTGGTGATTAGTGGTGTGTGGCTTTCTCTCGTTTTTTTTAATACAATCACTGGACTTGGCTTCATTGTGGCTACAAAGCTGTACACCTCACATTTCACCTTGCAAAGTAATTGCATTTTATAACTAGCTTAGATAATGACTAAGCCATAATAATTTATAATAGCTAATGGAGTCATTTGGGAGGATGTAATGAAAAGGTTTACTCAGTCTGAGTCTGAGTTACACTGGATGAGAACTCACAAAACTCAATGCCCAATTTGTTGAGTTCACTGCCAAAAAATGGCATTCATTAAGATCAAGCTGTGAGGCACAAACTATTTAAGAAGTAATTAACCAGTAATTAGCATATTATT